CCCCCCCCCCCGCCCCAATTGCACGCGCACCACACACTCGTGAAGCAACACTAGAGGGCTATCTACTCTCCGGAAGAGTTGAGCTTGGCCCTCGCCCTCCCCTCGGGGGCTGAGTTCAGGTGAACCACAAACTACCCACGGGGGTGGGCAGGCGGGCCGGCCGAGCTCCAGAAGCCCCCGAAAGGAACTATCAGGCCAGCTCTCTCCCTCTTTCCACAGGCCACCTCGCTCTTGCGCACGTGCCCACCCCCGAACTACTCGCCATGCTCTGCCCCGGGATGTTCCTGCCCACGGAAAGGCTGTTTTCCGCGGCAGATTCTGCGATCCGGTGACCACCGCCTTGCGCAGCCCGCACGCCGGTTATATGATGCTGCGATACAGAAAGTTTACATCTGCCCCAGACTCGAGGGGCCTGCGCGGTCCGCCGGGAGCGCTGCGGTGGCCAGGCTTTCCCTGCGCTTTCGGCCACGAGGGAGGGCAGGCGGGGAGGACGGCACCCGGAGAGCCCCGGCGCGGCGGGAAAGGTACTCACTGTGAAACAAACTGCGTCCATAGATCATGTCTGTTCGTTACACCCGAGGCTCCGATCTCCACTAATTCCATTTAGAGACAGGGAGACTTCCAGTGGTCGGGGAGAGGTCGGAGTCGAGAGGTGTTTTGGATACGCAAACGAAGAGCAAATGAAGGGGGGTTGGGGTGGGGGGAGAGAGAGAGGAAAGAAGGAGATCGGAGCCCACACGGCAGCAATATCCGGACCCGAGCGTCCTCCGCCCCGGGCTCGCGCTCGCCCTCTCAGCGCCGCGAGGCCAGCAGCATCCTCGCCGTGACGCGCGCCTCACACCCGGGCTCCGGGCGCCACCATCAGCGCCGCCGGCGGCTGCACCCTCCTCCTTTGCATCACCGCCGCCGCCGCAGCCGTCAGGAGGGCGCGCGGGCAGTCGGCGCGCGGGTGAGCCCTGGGGTGTCCCGAGCCGGGGCCGGGCGGCGGGCGCGGCGAGAGGAGGGGGGCCCAGTACGGACCGACGGCAGCCACGGAGCGGACGGCTGCGGATGGGGCTCGCTCAGTCCCCGGTTTCATACACCACGAGCAGCAGGTCGGAGCAGCCTCCGCGGGAGGATGTCCAGCAGCCCTCCTCTCTCCAGCCCTTGGGGATCTTCCGCTGAGGCATTGAAGACCGGAGGAAGGGGTCCGTCATCGGCTCGCCGGGCTGCGCGCCACCTCTGCGATCTCGCGGAAAGAGGAGCGGGGGGTGGGCGTCTGGGAGGAGGGCCGGAGGGTGGTGGAGGGGAACCGAGGTGGCAAAGG